GATAAGAAATGTCCTCAAAAGAGCCCATTATATGCTGGAGCGGGAGAAGATATATTAAGAACAATAAAGGCCCCAAAACCGAACCCTGAGGGACACCATAAGTAAGGGAGGCAGAGGATAACCTAAAATCAGAGACCACCACAGAAAAAGATCGGTTATGTAGATATGAGGAGAACCACTCCAAGGCAGTATCCGATACACCAACCCAATATTTAAGCCTTTCGAGGAGGATGTGGTGGTCAACAGTGTCAAAAGCCGATGTGAGGTCCAACATAAGTGGAACCGAGCATTTTCCTGCATCATTATTCATCAAAATGTCACTTGAGACCCTAAGAAGGGCTGTTTCTGTGGAGTGAGCTCTGCGAAAGCCGGATTGAAACTTATCGCAAATGCTATGTTTGTCCAGAGTTGGTATAAGTTGCTTAGCCACAACCTTTTCTAGAAGCTTAGCAATTAAGGGTAATTTAGAGATAGGTCTGTAGCTGCTCCAAAGAGATGGGTCTAGCTGAGGTTTTGTTTTTTTTAAGTGGGAGAATAGCAGCACTTTTAAAATAAACCGGAACTATACCAGACGCCAGTGAAGAGTTGATTAGCGTGAGCACAGATGGACCAATAATTAGTGACCTGACACTTAAGGGGAATGCTTACATAAGTAATATGCTAAAATAATATAGCAAGTCAATAAGACTTTACAAACCAGGATTAACTTTTGTAAATATTTTCCTAGAAATAATTTTTTTATACATTTCCCAGTGTTATAACACTGTTACATCACAGTCTTTCAACACCAACTGTCTGCCAGTTTTGAGAACCCTTCCCAGGTGCCTTAATGCCCACTCACATCTTCTATCAGGTGATCTCAATAGGTCACATGATAGGGTGAGGCAACGTCTCACAATGGTTTACCTGAAATCTCTGCTAATAATGACCCACACCCTTTTTCACACCTTGGCTCATGTGATGAGCTGTCTGATCAATAGTGGGTCAACAACCCTCTTTAAGGGATAACTCTCACTAGTGTTTAAATACCTGGAACTCTCTACCCTTTTTTAATGAATGGTGGAAATGAAAGTTTCAGAAGTTTCACAGATGAGAGATGAAATGTCTTCAAGAAATTTAAAGAACTCCAGTGCTTTTTATTTCATAGATAGTTCTGTGAGTAATTTTCTGTAAAACGATATATAACGCTTGGCCAGGACTTCTTCTCAAAGTCCATTACAGTGGGTAAAATAAGTATTGAACATGCCACTAATTTTATATTATATATATTTCGAAATGTGCTATTGACATGAAATTCTCAAAAGATGTCAGTAACAATCAGAGGTGGAAAGTAGCGAATTACATTTACTTGCGTTACTGTAATTGAGTAGTTTTTTTGTGTATTTGTACTTTTTAAAGTCATTTTTCAAGGCTGTAATTTTACTTTTACTTAAGCGTATTTTTTTTTAAGTATTGTAGTTCGCTACGTTTTCAATCACACCCGTTACTGAGTAAATTAAAAAAACAAAGCAAAAAAACATTGCGCTTCGGAAATACTGCAGGGAATGATGGGTAGTAGAACAACTTGGCACTAAGGTCACATTAAAGATGGAGTCTGATGTCGGTGTTACGGATCTAGTGAAAAAAGAAGCCCCGTCGAATTCTGCTGACCCTGAACTCGAAGAAACGGATGTGAACCCCTGGCCGTATTTAAGGGACCATTTCGGCTTCAAGTGCAAGAAAGGCAACAGCTTTATTATGCAGTGTAAGCTGTGTTTGCCCAGAGAGACTGAGTTAGCAGCTTTTAAAAATTCCACATCAAACCTGCGCAAGCATGTAGAGGTAAGTTAAATACAACTCGTACCATTATGGTAGCAAAAAGGCTGTGTTCAAATTAATCACATTAAGTTAAGACATCTGTGAAGAACACAGATAACATTGGTTGGTACAGCAACTTGCTGTAATCGGGCACGTTGTTGTCCACGCAACTTACATTTTTTTTACTGGGTTGGTAAATTGCCAAAAGAAAATGTGTTTACCTACGTTTTTCCTGTTTGTTAATAATAATTATTTATTTAAAAAAATAGTTAAATTAAAGACAGAAGCGGCTACTTTCTTACTTATATGTTCACACTGCAGGCAAAAGAATAACAGAGTGCTCACTTACCTTAGATTAGTCAAAGACAGCTGACTTCTGTTACTTGTAAATTAGCACTTGCAACCTCCCGTTAACTAGCCTGTTACTGTCCAATAAAAAAAACCACGAGGTATATTGGTATATTTTACCAGCGGTAGCTATGTAATGCATTGATGTCTTATTAGGGACGTCAAAAAACTTTCTCTCAAACTTAACACTGGCCTGCCTGCCTCAGCTGCCTTCGAGCGTCTCTTTAGCTGTGCTGGACTACTGTTCACTGCAAAGTGAGCAAGGATGAACTCTACTAACTTTGAAAATCAACTGCTCCTCAAAATTAACAGGAAGTTCAGAGAGTAACACTCTAGGATGGATACAAAGGAACTTTAATCTAGAGGTACAGTAGGGCAGGGCCAAGTTTAAAAAATTAAAAAACATTTTTAAAGCAGCTGCCGTTCAGTTCAGTACTTGTTCTCTTATTTGACAGTTTAGAACACATTCTCATGTGAAAGAATGATATGGTTTTGTATTGAAAACACTGTGATACCTGACAGTTTGGTTGATTGGTTTGGTGACCATTATCCATTTTCATGTATAGACTTGCAGTTTAACTGCCACAGCACTTTAATTTGTAACGTTTTTCTTTTCACTAAAAAAAGAACTACTTTGAGATTTATATCCCACTGTCTTTTTTTGCACTACTCAGAAGCGGCTGTCCTCCTGCTGACAGAAAAGTAACTATGTAACTTTTACTCTGAGTACATTTTAAATGAGCTACTTTTTACTTTTACTTGAGTACATTTTTAGACAGGTAATTTTACTTGTACTTGAGTAAAATTTCAGCAAAGTAATGGTACTTTTACTTGAGTAAAATATTTTAGTACTCTTTCTACCTCTGCACGCGTATATAAAACAGGTCCGCGGCTCCGAACCGTAGTAAAGGGACCTCTGGCTAATATGTCGGGTTCCACGTCGGTCTCATAGCCAAAAACTAGCTTTACTTTATGTCTCGGTCAACTTTGCTAGCGAGAGACAGAGAGAGGCGTTGAAAGGCTGCTCCAATGGAACTTATTTTTTTCGGAGGAAAACACGAAAAAAGTGTACAGCCGAGTCTTAATAGCTTACTTATAACTGGGCTCGTCAGGCACTCTTTTTGGCTGCAGTGGTTATTATTATATTTGCATGCTTCCAGCTCCCGTTTCTGCTCGGTGACAGCTCCCTCCCTCGCTCACAGACACATAACGGGTACAGCAGTCCATTCTCCCTGCAGAAGGGACTACACTGTCCATGAAGCTACATTCTTTATGGCTGTGCCTGTAACACTCTGCCTATTGCCTTCATATTAAATCATTTTTGTGAATAATTTTAAAAAATATTTCTTCACGTCATTATGTGGGCCGCAAGTAGAGGTGACATGGGCTGCGAGATTGAGACACAGGCCTCTTAATGCGTGTTTTGTTTGGGGTGTGGAAACCAAAAATAGAGAGGGCATAGCCGAACATATGAAACAGAAAAATACCGCCGTGTAATCACTTTATTTCAGTAACTGTATTCTAAGTACCACCTTTTTAAACGGTAACTAACGGAATACAGTTACTCATATTTTGTATTTTAAATACGTAGTACATTAATTCCGTTACTCCCCAACACTGGCCACAACCAGGTGTTCCCTGCAAGATTTCAAAAAGAGGAGTGAAAAAAAAATATCAGAAAAGTTGTCCAAGAACCATGGCCCACTAGTGGAGAGCTAAAGAATGACCTGAAATCAGCAAGTATAATTGTTTTAAAAGAAAAAAAAAATGCCCTCAACTGCCAAGGCCTGTATGCATGCTCACCAAGCATCACTACATTGCTAAAGAAAACGCATGTTGAAACACAATTAAACTTAGTTGAGCAACATTTAGAAAAGCCTGTGAAAAACTGGGAGCATATATTCTGGTCAGATAAGAACAAATTTGAACTCTTTTGATGCCATAATACACACCATATTTTGAGGTTAAAAGGGAAAGCTTATCACCTCAAACATACAACCCCAAGAGTGAAGTTTAGAGGAAGGAACATCATGGTGTGAGGCCTGTTTTTCATCATAATGCACTGGCACCACTTATTTTAATTGAAGGAAGGATCAATGGAAAAATGTATCAGTGTATCAAGACATTGTTGATAAAAAATTTGCTGCCATCTAACAGGATGACGGGGATGAAATGAGGGTGGATGTTTCAGGAAGGCAATGATCCCAAACACACACTCAAAGAAACTCTCAACTGGTTTCAGAGAAAGAAAATAAAACTGATAGAATCCTGCAGTCAATTACCTAACCTGAATCCAATCTCATCTATGGAAAAGAAAAAGAACCTTAAGGATTTGAAGCCAATGCGTACAACTTGTGCAAAAAGTAGCGGCTTATAGCCCGACAATTACGGTAACTTAATTTAGGGATATCAGTGTCTGATTTCTTTGCATGTGTGAACTGGATGGGTTGTTACCAACTTCTGGTAGTAATTCATGTCAACATCTCATGTCAACAGCAACTTTAGAAATATATATACAGAAGACTGGTGACGTGTTCAGTATTTGTTTTACCCACTGTATATACAGCTTATTTCTCGTAACCTTTTGTTTTCTTTTTGTTTGTTTTTTAGTTTTTTGCAATTTGCCTTTATTGGATAGTGAAAGTGAGGAGAGGGGGAAGACACACAACAATCCCCACTATCCTGCAGTCTGCTCTAGCTAATAGCTAATTTTACTTTGCTTTAACTAAAGAATTGTTTCACTTTGTTCTCTTGGGAAACACACACAGCAACGTTTCCTAGCCTGAGTTATATAGTTTATAATGCTTAGCTTAAAGTGATTGCATGGATATGTTCCTGTACCTTCCTTGCTGCAGTGTTCTGAAGCACTCCGTGGATGCCACCTTTGAAGACCAGGGTCCCAGTCCAGGCTATCGGATAGAAATGTCAATCTTCTACGTGGTCTACTTTGTCGTTTTCCCCTTCTTCTTTGTCAACATCTTTGTTGCTCTAATCATCATCACCTTCCAGGAACAAGGAGACAAGGCCTTGTCTGAGTGCAGCCTAGAAAAAAATGAGGTAAAGAGCTCAGAAGTATTTAGTATTACAATATGTTCATTCATTCATTCATTTGTTCATTTCAGGCACAACAAAATACATATATTGAACATAAAGTGCACAAAACAAAAAACAAAAATTACCTGAAAAGGAGTGGGACGAAGAAAACTTATTAAATCCCACCCCTATACTCACTCATC